TTGTTGTAGTATTTTTTTCTTCTTCTAGTATCTGAATTTGGAACTCCTTTCTTGCTGCCACCATTTTCCAGGGAAGAACAGAGTACTAAAAGGCTTCAGGGGTCTAAAGGCTGGGCGAATAAGGGAAAGAGCCTGTTCTTCTATTGGAGCCTTTACTGGGCCTTTATCCTAGGGTGATTAATTGTCCAGGTTCAAGCTTCATTACTTTGGATTAAATTTACTAATTTACATATGTTTGGCCACAACCCTTGTTCTACCAAATCAGATACTAGTCACCAGTGGCATCCCCCCAAGAAGTAAGGGAGAGCAGGGGACAGGAAGCTCTCCACCAATTTATTAGAATAATGACAATAATTGTGATCATAATCACAATAATAACAGACAACACTTATTGTACCAGGCTTTGTTCCAAGCACTTTATCTATATTATTAACATTTAATTCTCACAGGTCTATGAAATGGGTACTATTGTTATCCCCATATTATAGGTGAGAAACTAAGGCACAGAGCAGTCAAGGAACTTGCTCAAGGTGACATGATTAGTAGGAGGCAGATTTGAGTATGAACCCAAACAGTATGGCTCTGGAGGTCATGCTCTCAACCACCAAGATATGCTGCCTGAACTTGACTAGAATCCCCTACAGATGTGTACTGTATTATTAGGTATTCACAGCTCCTAGCCTCAGTGAAGGGCACTAGAAGTTGTTCAGAGGTAAAAAAGGAATTTAATTTTCAAAAATCTTAACTGCCTATTATGTAGTAGGGACAGTGTTTTTTGTTGTTGTTGTTAAGATTTTATTTATTAATTAGCACAAGCAGGTGAAAGGACAAAGGAAGAGGGAGAAGCAAATTCCCAGCTGAGCAGGGAGCCTGACATGGAGCTCGATCCAGGACCCTGAGATCATGACCTGAGCCTAAGGCAGACACTTAACTGACTGAGCCACCCAGGCGCCCCAGTATTAGGCACAGTGTTAATCATGGGAATATAGAGAAAAAGAGCCTCCACTATAAAGAGCTTCCCACAGTCTAAAAGGAGAAGCAGAAGAATCAGCAAATGCAGTACATAAGATGCAGCAGGTGCATGCGGAGTGCACAGGGAGGAGGGGCACTGAGCCTAAAACCTAGGGGCTCAGGCAGAATTCCTAACTTGAGTCCTGGAACTAAGTTCATTCTCTGAGTTTCACCAGAAGTCCTTAGTACTAGGAGCCCACAGCTGGGCCCACCAGTCTTGAGTCAACTAAAAATTGAAGTATGAAAATTTGAAAAGTAGCAGGAGCAATTCTTCTCTTTCTTTCTGCCTAGGCAATGACTGGTTTTTGCCCATAGATTCTCTTGTGCCTAGTTAGCTCCTGAAGAAGCTAACCAAGCTTTGGTTAAACTTCACTGGAATTTTATAGAATCATGCATACATGAAAAGTGAATCAGTGCCCACTTCCAGGTTTGACTCTGTTAAACAGTTGTCCAAGACAAGGGATAATGGAAGCTACTGGAGGCTGAGCAGTGAGGCTACAATTCTGCATTTCTTTCATAAAAACTGTGGTCAAATAGTCCAGAAATTGACCCTGATACAGAGTCAACTGATCTTTGACAAAGAAGCTAAAGCAACACAATGAAGAAAAGATGGCGTCTTCAACACATGCTGCTGGAACAACCAAACATCCACATGCAAAAAAAAAAAAAAAAATTGCAGCTAGACCCAGACCTCATACCCTTCACAAAAATGAACTCAAAATGGATCATAGACCTAAATGTAAAATGCAAAACTAAAACATTTCAGGAAGAGAACAGCTAGATGGAGAAAACCTAGATGACCCTGGGTATGGTGATGCCTTTTTAGATAAAACAACAAAGATACAACCCATGACAGAAATAATTGGTGAGCTGGACTTCATTAAAATTAAAAATATCTGCTCTGCAAAAGACAAATATCAAGAGAATTAGAGGACAAGCCATGGACTGGAAGAAAACGTTTGCAAAAGTCACATCTGATAAAGGACTGTTACCCAGAATAGACAAAGTGCTCTTAACAGGCAACAATAAGAAAATAAATAACCTGATTAAAAAGTGGGCCAATGACCTGAACAGATACCACACCAAAGAAGACATATGGATGGCAAATAAGCACATGAAAAGATGCTCCACATATGTCATCAGGAAAATGCAAATGAAAACAACTGAGCTACTACTACACACTTATTAGAATGACCAAGATCCAGAACACTTGGCAACACCAGATGCTGGCGAGGATTTGGAGCAAGAGAAACTCTCATACACTGGTGGGAATGCAAAATGGTGCAGCCACATTCTGTTAGGAGACAGTTTGGAGGTTTCTTACAAAACAAAATATACTCTTACCGTACGATCCAGCAATTACGCTCCTTGGTATTTACCCAAAGGAACTGAAGACTTCTGTCCACATCAAAACCCCACACACAGATGTTTATGGCAGTTTTCGTTATAATTGTCAAAACTTGGAAGCAGCCAAGATGTCCTTTGGTAGATGAATGGATAAACTATGGTGTATTCAGACAATAGAATATGATTTATTCAGTGCTAAAAGGAAATGAGCTATCAAGCCATGAAGACATGGAGGAATTTTAAATGCACATTACTAAGTGAAAGAAGCCAATCTGGAAAGGCTATGTACTATGATTTCAACTATAGGACATTCTGGAAAACGCAAAGCTATTAGAGATGGTAAAAAAATCAGTGTTTGCAGGGTGTAGGGGGGAGAGAGATGAACAGATGGAGCACAGAGGATCAGGGCAGTGAAAATACCCTGCATATTACAATGATAAGTATATGTCATTATATTTTTATCCAAACCTGCATCACGTGCAACACCAGAAGTGAGCTCTAAGATGAACTGTGACCTTTATATAATTATTGTGTGTCAATGTAGGTTCTTCCTTCGTTTAAAAAAAAAAAGTACTTTCTGGTGAGTGATGTTGATGATGGGAGGCTATGTACGTGAGGGGGCAGGGGTGTATGGGAAATCTCTGTACCTTCCTCTCAATTTTGGTGTAAATCTAAAACTGCTCTAAAAAAATAAAGTTTTTTTAAAAAGATGAAATGAATGAAAACCAGCATGTGGTTCGTGCCCATCCAGGGATGCCAAAAAAAAATAAGAGAGAAAAGAAAAGAAAACTAGCATTGTGAATAGTGTAACTACCCATGGGTTCCTGGGTCACAGAGTTGTCTCTTTATATATTTAAATGAGTCCCAAAGCCTCCTCTTGATGTCTCTTTGCTGCATACCTAGCCCCTTCCAACTGGATCTTTTCTTGAGACAGTAACCACTACCAGTAGGCTTTCTTCTCCAGCTTCCTGACATGAAATATTTGTCTGACTATAAAGCTCATTCAAACATCAGAAATAGCTAAGTCTTAATTACTTACATATAGATTTCCCACTTGGATATTGTTTACAACAAATGTTTCATCCCAATTTCAGTTTTTCCCCACGAGCCATTACATTTTTGAAGGGCCTCCCTTTCCCACGGGTCAGTGTTTCCTTCAGGAATGGTAGCTATTTAAATTTTTATTAACCTAAGAAAAACTACCAGGAGAGCTTCCTTGTCCCTCAAGCGCCTCAGCAGAAGTCACAGTGCATTCAAAAGCCAAATATATTTGATTATTGGATTATGCTTTGCTTTACATATCTATTGCTTCCCATTGTGAATATTTAATAATTGACCTTCAGGATATCTGCAATATGAGCTTTTCAGCCTCTGCTTCCATCTCTAAAGTCTGAATGACTTGGCCTTAAACATTTATCATCCTCCCACTTAAAAATCTTCCCACCAGTTTCCTGCTACTCTGCCCTCAAGGTAGTTCTGTCAAAAAGAGTAAGAACTCTGAACTCTTCAAAGCCCTGTATTAATGTTTGTCATCTTTAGCATCAGTCTGGGGAGTAACAGACTTAACGCACCAATTTGAAAAATTTTTCCCCATCCCATCTCTTTTAAGTAATATCTGCGCCCAATGTGGGGCTCAAACTCGCATCCCTGAGATCAAGAGTTGAATGCTCCACTGACTGAGCCAGCCAGGTGCCCCCCATCCCATTTCACTATATGCACTCATATCCCCTCCCCTCAACAAAAGACACAGAACAATAACCTAACCCTCTTCTTATCAATAGTGGAATCATTTTTATCTTAACTATACAAATTTATTTAGGAACAGAGAGATTCCTTTGAATCTCAACATTTTCTTGGATATACCGTCTTTTTTTTTTTTTTTAAAGTTTACCATTTCTGGAATGGCTTCATGTTACATCTCTACACACTGGCCCACAAAGAAGGAGACTAGAGATAATGTTCCCGAGAAGTCAACAAATATTCCCAGCCCATGTGGGAACTCTCTTGTGGAAGCTAGCACAGTATTTCACACTTTGGCATTTTTTTCCTTTCTTTTTCTTTTTTTAAAAAGGAGATAAAATATTACAGAGATATCTTCAAAATTCACACCTGAGTAAAACATTTAGCTGGAAATTTCCACATTAAGGAGAGAACGTAGCTGCAAAAACAGGAAGGGGCTATATACAGGTATTTTGCCAACATAATTGTTACGTGTTTGCTTTTCTGTTCTTCCTCCTGCAGCCAGGGGAAGGGAGAGAGGACCAGATAAGGACAAGGAAGGAGAGAAGGAATAAACACTCCTGAACTCTGGGGCAGGTGTAGAACACAGAAGAGCACCTGTGGGCAGAGAATTGCGCCCAGGGGACTGAGGGTGGCTCAGCCTTCTGTAAAGAGGAGGGATCCTGGGAAAGGCCATCATGAGTGGATTTGGTTCTAGAAAAGGGGGCGGGGCTACAGAGAACATGGGGTGAAATGAAGAGTCAGTCAGAAAAGTTTGCTCAACAGAGAGAGCATCCAGGCTTTGGTGGAGACGTCAGATTCCAATCTTTTCACAGATTTTAGAGATTGGTTCAGAGATTGTGGCCAAGTTTGGAGTCAAAACCATGATCTCTCCTTCTGGTTGTTTGGCACACCGGGCAAACTGCTGTCCCCAGAGGCCCACAGATGAGTTGGAAAATAACGGCAAGGTGTCCTTTCTCAGAAAGACTACTGCCACAGGGAAGCCGTGTGAAGTATTTGAAACTAGAGGATTGGAGCACAGGGAGAGAAGGTGAAAATGGTTAACACCTGGTTGGGGGGGGGATGTGATTCAAGAGCACTAGGAGCCAGCGCATGGTTTAGTCACAGTTGGGATCTCTGGAGACCCTCACTCCTGAAGAAGCAAGAGTTTGGGTTGACAGTGGGGATTCTCTTCCTCTCTTCTGACAGTAATCTGTCCATACAGAGAGGGCGTGATTCCCTTCCTCCCAGGGGGACATGCAGGGCCAGGTGGATTCGGAGAAACTTTTTGGCCTCAGTGGAGGTAGGTGGGATGATTCCATCGGTACCAAGATCTGGAAGGAAGAAAAAGCAAGTCAATCCTAAAGCTGCTAACAGGGTGAGGGAAGGGGCGAATGGGCAACGAACTCCTATGGGGTTTCTTTCTGGAATTAGATTATGGTGATGGTTATGCAAAATTGTGAATACACTAAAATCCAGGTGTCGTACACTTTAGACGGTAATTTTTACAGTAGGTGAATTCTATCTCAAAACATTTTTTTAAAAATGTACATCATATGGGGTTTTTGTCCTCCTTTTGTGGTGGGAGAGGTTGAGGAGCCCCAATATTTTGGGCTGTGCAACCGTGGGCTGGTAAGAGCTGGCTGCCTTGCTGAATGGCCTGGGTTTGGACAAGAGGATTCATCTCTTCCCACAGGGCGACTGCCTAACTTTCAAATCTCTGCTTTGTTCTGACTCAGGGAAGAATCTCTCAAGGCACCTGCTCCGAGAACAGCTTTCAAAAGGAGCTGACTCGTGGGCCCCGGAGGCCGCTGCCTTCACTGCATCAGAGGTGGGAGTTCGAGTGAGGCAGCGGTAGTCCTTCTCTCTCTCGTTCTGTCAGCCACACTTGGCTGCTCTGGCTCACGTCAGAACACCCCAAGAACAGGGTTCCCGGCATGAAGAGGAATACTCCTAAGCCCACTGAAGGACCTGGCCCTTTCTAACAGGAGTGTTTGGAAATTTCCACCCTCCCAGTGAGGATGGAAATTTTGGCTTTTGTTGACATCAGCTCCTTGCCAGGACTGCTCCCTGGCCGAAGGTTCTCTTTAAAGCCTACTCCCTAGGGATATGGTCCAGCCCAGCTGTTCACTCTGTCCCCCCCACCCCTGCCACCGCACTCCCCTTTCCAGCCCTGTGACGAGCTTTCTTTCCAGAGCTAGGGACCCAGCCTCTCACGTGTCCCTCGATCCTGCTAGGATGTCATGGTACTCTCTCCTCCACCTTACCCCGAAGAGTTAAAACTGGAGGAGCTCACTGCCGCTTTGGAGTTATTTTGAGATGCAGTGGGGCTGTTGGCCTGGAGTCCTGAGCCAGGAGATGAAGACCTGCTGTTGTTCCCAGGGGAACAGGATGACGTTACTGAGGATGAAGAGAGGCAAAAACAAGGGGGAGATGATGCTGCTGGGTCCTGGGACCTCCTGACACAGCCCTCAGACATGTCTCTCCAGAGAACTCCCACTCCTCCCTGCCTCCCACCCACCTGCCCACCTCCTGCCACGTTAGCATCAACACCCGGCCCAGAGGGCTCTCATCATAAATACTCCTCTCAGCTCGGGCCCCGGAGAGCAGCATAGCTGGTTCTGCAGGTCCGAGACTTGCCAAATGCAAAAGGACGGATGCCAAAATCATCCTACTCCAGGACACACCCTGGGCTGGGCATATGTAGCCCCAGACCAAGAGACAGGAGGGGCCAAAGAACAGGAACTCTTGGAAAGGAGGAGAGGAGAGAGAGAGGGAACAGTGAACAGGAGAGGGAAAGAGAATCTGAGAACACAGCATCTCTGGGGTGCCCATCTCCACAAAAAAGATACACAGATTTCTAGAAAGAACACAGCCAGGAGAGAGGAGCCCCAAGTCTCGGTCCCTGGCCATTCACTAAGCAACTCTGGCCCATGGTGCCTTGCTTCACTTCGTCGAAGCGCATTTTTGTCCTCTGTAAAATGGCAGATTTGGATGCTTATTTTTGGATTTCCCAAACAGCGTTCCGGGAGTAAGGTGACAGATACCTTACCATCCAAGCAAGCCAAGATACTCTGAGGAGTGGGAAACAGTGCAGTCAAACATTATGTCAGGACAAGAGGCAGACACTGGGACTGTCCTGGGCATATCCAGACAGATGGTCACCCTCCTAGTTCTTTGAAAGTCTCTAACTACTTTTTGAAAAATAGAGTTCGGTAGGAAACTGGTTTGGGAAGCCCTGCCTTCCACACAGCTCCTTTAGGGATGTTAAATGCACTCCCGTGTTGAGAAGTGTGGCAACTAAGACAGAAAGCAAACACTTGCTTTCATCTTAGCTTCTCCAGCATTTCCCAAACTTACTCGATGGTGGAACCCTTCTTCTCCTAGCACAGATCTTCCTAGCCTTTGAAAGACATTTAAGGAATGCTGCCCTAAGCAGTTACCGTTCACCTCTACCATCCCCCTGTTGAAAGGACTTCTGGGGTTATTCAGAAACCCCATGGCAAAACTCACCTGTTCCAGGCATGGTGCTGTGAACAGGAGGGACAGAGAGGGGGCCCAGAGACCCAGAGGGAGAGACCTGAAAGGCAACAGAAATTTGTAAATGTCTGTGTCTGCTTCTTTCTCCAATCTTGAGTGCTTCTCCTAGGGTGCCGGGTCCCCAGAGGGCAGACAGCAGGGCTCAGCTTCCCTGATGACTGCCTAGTTCCAAACCTACACTTTGTCCCCCACTTCCACAAGAAGGCCTGTGGATCACATGCAGCATTGGCTCAGCTCTGGCCTGCTCTGGCAGGGGCTGCCCACTGCCGACACTGGGCCCTGCCCTCCCTGCCATGGCCCCTGGCAAGGCTCTTCCGTACAGCCAGGCAGAGTGATGAGTGGTGCCTCTCGGCTCCTGCTGGGGCAGACACTGTTGGTTGGCTATCTATTCGCCAGTCCCCAGTCCTTTTTTTTTTTTTTTTTTTTTAATAAAAGATCCCTTTGCTCAGGGCAGCAGAGCCCAGTAGCTTCCCAGCCTGATGTAGGAGAGGACCCCCGACTCCCCACAAAAAACTGGAGGGGCTGAACTTTGGATGCTGAAGCTTTTCATTTGGCCCTGGAGACCTCACAGCATCATCAACTCTGAGATTGGGAAGGGACTTAAGAGGATTCAGTTTAAGCCCTTCAGGACTCTCCCCCTTCAGATTACTCCCTTAGCACAACCTAGAACAAGATGTAATAGGAAGAATGGACTTGGGGGCCCAACAGATCTGGGGGTGAGAACCTGGTTCCACCATATCGCTCCATGTGACTTTGGGCAAGTGACCTAACCCCACTGAGATCTGGTTTTCTCATCCATGGAACAGAGCTAATACCTCCCCTATATTTCCTTTTAATTAAGATTTAATGAGAAAACATCCATAAAGCTTCCCCCTCAATGCTTGACAGAGAGCGCCAGGCTTGTTAAATGTTAGTTGCCTTCCTCCCTGAAGTTAGTCGCCGACTGTCTCTGGAAGCTGTTCACCTCTTCATCTGAGCTGAAGTCTGCATACCTTGCTTCCGCTTCATTCTTCTCATGCCGACAGAGCAAGGACAGGGGAAGGGCATTGGAAGGAAGTTCTGCTCGGGGAGCTGGGATTCGATGTTCCTCCCCTCCCTGGTTTGGATCATGCCCTCCTGACAGGATACAGCATGTACTCATTTCCCAATTAATCAGCTGTGGCTCTTCTGTCTTCACTTACTTGCCCATTTACAAGGAGCCTCCTCACTAGGCAGGGGGCCCACGAAGGGTGGGGACAGGTGTGGGGCCGTGTGGTAAGAGATGTTATCAACCAGCTCTCTCCCTCTCCTCCCCCTCCTTCCCTCCCTATTGGCACACCCGAGAAATTTGTTGTTGTTTTAAAATAAATAATGTATTTAGTCACTGTGACCAGCTTCTTCTGTTTCCTTCTGGAGGCAGGCTGTGCATATGCAAGCAGATATATATATCTTTTATATATGACTCCCCCTTTTCAATTGTTTATATAAATGGTAGCATTTTGCCCACAGTGGTTGGTGCCATTTTTTTTTTTTTTTGTCTTAACTGTATATCCTGGAGATCATTTCATATCAGAGCAGAAGAAACTATGTCCTAGTGCCAAGGAGACTGTCCCAGTGAGACCTGAGGAGAAGATAGAGTCAGAACATTTTTTCCCTCTGCTTCCTTCATAACATCACGAGCATGAACGGTCATTACTTATTTAACATCTTTCTCCTCAACTAGGCTGTCAGCTTCCAAGGGCAGGATGATGCCTGAGGAGTTCTACTACAGTGTCTACTACCATGTCTGGAACTTTGCAGGTGCTCAGTAAATATGTGTTGCATGAATGATGAGAAGGTATCAGGCTCCTTCCCAGCTCCTCTATGCTTCCCACTGCTTTTCTCCATGTGGGAACCAAATTGAGAACCTACTTCCCAAAGCCCTGTGTTTAAAGATTTCAATGCTCTTCTGACATGGCTCCATTTCCTTAACACGCCCGACATAACCTTGTCCCCGCCCAGCACTCCAGCCTCCTCATTCACCCTCCCTGGGTTGCAGCCCATTCCAGCCTGCTATGCTTCCTCTTTCCACCCTGCCCAGCCTCAGGGCCTTCATATACATTCTTTCCTCTGCCTAGAATGTTCTTCCCTACACTCTCTCCTCCCTGTGCACCCCCACCCCCATTACTGTCTACTTATGCTTTGGCTGTCAGTTTGAGCATCATTCCTCCGAGAAGGCCCTGACATCTTGCCCTAGGTTAGGTCCTCTAAATCCTCCTGCATCCCCTCTGGAGATTTCATCCCAGAGAGCATTTATTCAATGTCTGCTTTCCCCGCTGGACTGCAAGCAGGGATCCTAAGCGTCCTGTGCACCCCCGTGTCCCAATGCCAAACATTTGGTGGGTACTCAATAAATATTTAAGAAAGGAACTGTGAATGAATATCATGTTGCCTCCAACTTCAAATTTTCAATGGTTCCCTAGAGCTTGCGGGGTAATTTAGTATCTGTGGCCCATCGTAATCCAGCCCTCATCAACTTCTCTTCGTCCCCAAGCCTTTGCTTCAGCCAGATGGAAATGCTTGCGATTCCCCAAATGCAGCATGTTGTTTTATAATTCCGTGCCTTCTCACAGATGGTTCTTCCTGTCTGGTATGTTGTTCTCACTAACTTCTAATTTGTTCTGCAAACAAATTAGGGGGTCAGCCCTCCCAAACTCCATTCTGATTGGAATGTCTTTGATCTGTGTTCTTCTGGGCTCCCAGAGCACTCCTACAGGGCTCCTCACATCTTCACTGCAATGTCTTGCCACTTCTGACTCCTCCTTCTGAGTGTCCTCCCTTGATCCTCTTCGTTGACCCGTCCCTCAAATGCTGGTGTTCCCTAGGGTTAAGGTCTAGACTTTTCTCTTGGTTCCCTCGTGCAAACTCCGTAACTGAGCTCCTCCTCCCCCAGGATTTCAGCCACCACCTTATGCTTCTGATTCCCCGATCCATGTCTCTATCTTGGCCTTCTCTCCTGACCTCCAGACCCATAATTACAGGTGCCCAAGGACCTTCCCACTTGGGGGTCCCACAGGCTTCACTGTACATTATAAGGATGTAAAGAATGGGGATCGTCACTTTTTCCCACTCCCAAATCAGCTCCTCCCCCTGTGTTTGCCTGTTCCATCAATGGCATACCACCTGCCCCATCAACCCAACCTGAATGCTGAGAGTCAGCCCAGAGTATTCCCTTTCCTTCATCGTTCTCCTTGCCCCCACCCGATTTCCCATTCATTACCCAAGACCTAATAATTCTACCTTCTAATTATCTCTTGAGTCTCTCCCATCCCCTCATTCTTACCCGCTACGTTTACTTCGGCCCTCATTACTTCTCTCCCGGATAACTGCAAACACATTGTAAGCTGGTTTCCCTACAACCAGTCTTGCGTCTCTCAAAACCACCCTTTATACAGCAGAGTGATCATTCCAAAAGCCAAATCTGATGATGCCAATGGCCTGCTCAAAATCCTTCAGTGACTCCTCTAAGGCTTCAAATTCCTTAGCATTGCACATCGTCACCTCAGTCTGGCCCTTGCTGGTCTGTCCAGCCTCATCTCTCAACATCCCTCCACAGGGAACTACCTATAGTTCCGGGAACGTGTCATACATTCATCCTCCCGGCTCCATCCTACTGTTCTCATACTTTCCCCCTTGAGAACTCCACCCTACACTTATTTGCCTCTTCACTCCTTGTCTGTTTAGACTCAGCTCAGGTATTAATTATCTCCTTGGGGAAGCCTACTCTAACCACCACCTTGTAAGGCTTTATTAGCTGCAACTGCTAAGTTCTCCTCGAGAAATTATCATGTTGTTTATCATTTGTTTATTTGTCTGTCTCCTCTGCTAGGCAGGGAGATCCTCCAGGACAGGGGAGAGATGTTATTTATTTGTGTAACCCTAGCACTCTGCACAAAAATCAATATATAGTAGGTGGTCAAGGAATGTTTGGTCAAAGAACGAACAATGGTGTCATTTTTATGAGACAGCTACGTTCTACGCCAGACAAGGCTGATTTTCACCCATCTCTAAGTGCTGGAAGATTTGAGGACAATACCATTGTCCTCAGTTCCCTTAACCTTCTAACCATATATATCAACCCCAAAGATGAAGAAGAACTTTCCCACCTCTACCCTCCAGGCACTATCTCTCCCTGGAGGGAGAAGATATTTCTTATTCCCCAAACTTCCAAGTCTGCCTAAACTGCAAATTATTCCCAGCCCTGACCTCCAGAATCATAGATACAACTGTCTACTTGACACTTCCTCTTGGATGCTTAGATGCATGTCTAGCTGAATCTGACCAGCTCCAAATTCTTAGTCTTTTCCCTCAAACCTGTACCTCCAGCATTCTTCATCATCTTAAAAAAACATGGCAACACCTCCGACCAGTTGCTCAGGTCAAAACCCTTGAAGTCACCTTGGCTTCATTTCTCATACTCCGTATCTGAGCTGTCAGCACATCTTGTTGGCTCCATGGTTGAAGTGTATTCAGAATCCAACCACTTCTTGTCACCGCCATGGCTACCTTCTTAGCCTAAGCTACCTCTATTCTCAGCCTGGGTATTGTAGTTCTCCTCACCCGTGTCCTGCTTCTAGATTATTCTCCATGCAGCAGCCCACCTCAGCCAGCTCAGACTTCTCTGCCCACAGTTCTCCAGTGGCTTACTTCATACAAACTCAAAGCCAGGGTCCTTTCAGTGACCTCCATGAGCTTGGGTGGTCTGCTTTGTGTTACTCCTCTGACTTTCCCTTCTATTCTCTCCTTCCTCAGCCTGCCCCAACTACACTGACTTCCTTCTCTCCCTCAAACATGCCAGGTCTTTTTACTTGCTGGTCCCTCTGCCTGGAACACTCTTTGTTCTAGATAGTTCTTTCCTTCTCAACACTTTGGGCTCCACTCAAATGTCACCTGACCAGGGAGGTCCTCTCTGACCTCTCTATTAAAAAAGCATCTCCCCACAGTTACTTTCAATCCCCTTACTCTTCTTTATTCTCATTTATATTTTGTAGATTCTATATACGGCATATTTTTGCTTACATGCCCCTCGCAACTCCCGACTGCCATCTTCCCCAGGATGGAGAAGACTTTTTGCCCTCCAGGCACCATTCCTATCCCTCCCCCAGTGCTTGGTGGCAGCTTGGCTCCCGGTCACTCACCAGGCGGGAGTTGTAGACAGGTGATTTGATGGGTGTGGTCACAGGGCAGTTGATTCGCTTCTCCTTCTGACGTCGGTTGCAGAACCAGACTCTTACCACTTCCTTCTCCATGGACAGCTGCTCTGCAATCATGGAGATCTCCTCGGAGCTGGGTTTGGGGTTCTACAGAGACCAAAGGGATAGAATGTGGTCAGGAAGAAAAGGGAATAGGGTCAAGAATCAGGGAATGGGGGCCAGATGTTCCAAGGAAACAAGATAGAACAAGAGATGGATCAAAAGCTTTAGAATCAGCCCTAGGATGGAATACTGGCTTGCTTTATCAGTTACTGTGTATCCTTAGGAAACTGCCTTAACCTCTCTGAGCCTCAGTCTTACATCTACGAAGTGAGAATAATAATGTCTACTATATAGGATTGTTGTGAGGATAAAAGGAGAAAACGTGTGTAAACTGCCCAGCATGGGGCCTGCCACAGAACAGAGGATCCATAGATGTGGTTCGCTTCTCTCACTTCTTCCTTCAGAAGTTCTGAAAAGAGGAGTCTCCTGCTGAGTTGGGTGGGGCACCCGAAACCCATGTTCCCCTCATGAACTTTTCTTGTGTTATTACTTCCTGTCCTACCTCAAAATAGGAAAAAATAGAGCCAAAGCATGTGGATCCATCGAGACTGAGGAGATACATGTATTATAGATAGATATATATTATAAATGTGTGTATCTATCTATCTCTCCATTCTCTTGTTCCAACCTCTCCTTCCACCCAATCTTTGATCTCAGCCCCTCTCCCTCCTTCCTACACCCCCTTCCCTTACTCATGCTGCTCCAAGAAACTAATCAACAGGAAAAGCCGGCTCTTGTCATCCTGCCAGAAGCGGCCATCAGATCCTGGAGCCAGATGCCCTGGCGGATTTGCCGGAGTGGGCAGCAGTCTTGGAGGCCCCGGGCCCACAATGTTAAATGAGGCCAAGGGCACCTCCTCTAGGGACATGTGTGGTGTGGTGTGGATTGAGGCTCTGGAAGCTCATACCTAAGGGATCCTGATTAGAAGCTGTTTCGACACACCTGCTTTCCCCTCTTCCCTTCCCCAGCTCCCACGGGGCACGTAGCTGGTATTATTAGCTGCCACATACTGGCTCAGGAATATGCTTTTGCTACAAGTTCAAACCAGTGTATGTATAATATGATCACAAGCATTTAAATACATGTGAAAGAAAGAAGGAAAGACAGGTAGATGCCATTTGATGGTAGATTTTTTTTCCTTCTACTTCCTTGTGTTTTCCTAGTTGTTCACAATGAGCATTTACTACATTTATAATTAAAAAAATACAAATTCATGCATAGAAAGTAAAGAATTTGAGATGGTATCTATACTTATCATGATGAGCACTTTGTAATGTATAAACTGTCAAATCCCTGTTGTACCCCTGAAACTAACATAATATATGTCAACTACAGGTCAACTATACTTAAAGAAAAAAGAAAGACTTTTATACAGTGCTCTGGTTTACCTCAGGTGAAGACAGAGATCCACCCTCTTCTGGGACCCTATACCCCATTCCTTAAATCTCCCAGTGAGAGGGACAATGGGCCCTCAAAAGATGTCAGGGCCACACCAGGGTACGTGTGGGCGGGTGCATGGGCACCATGGTGCGCACTCGATGGGACTCTCAATCACAGGATTTCATATGTTGTCATTGTCACACTTTCACATTTTTGTACATCAGTGAATTTTTTATATTAAAAGGTTGAGCCAAAAAAAAAAAAAAAATGTCAGGGCAAGTAGGGTCAGTGGGGGGAAGAAGTTCCTGGCAGTCCCTTTCATCGGCATATATGGGGGCCTGCAGAGGGTGTGTGCACTTGCTTTCTGACCCTTTCCCAGGGCAGGTGTGGTGCGCAGGGGCCTGAGTGTGTCCGCTCATCCAATTGTGTACATCAGCCCACCCACTTCCACCCGGAGGAGCCGCTCACATCTTGAAATCTCTTCTCCAGAGTCAGGCGGATATTGGTCTCGATGCTGGTCCGTTTCTTCCTCTTCCTACCGAACACTTCATTGAGGGTGGGGAAAGAGCTGGGGGTGTTCATCGAGGGGTCTGTTGGAGACGTTTCTGTCGGGAGGTGGAAAAGCAAAGGAAGCTCAGAGAAGAGAATGCACTGGCTGGGGCAGGCTCTGTGTTCATGGCCTTGAGGTCCAACACCATTTCCTGGTGAGCTCTGCAGTGGCTCTTTTAGGATCAGCCCCCGCCCCCAGCAGGAGAACTGGAACAGGCCAAACATCCTGCTTCTCCTCATGGCTCTGGGCAAAGGTCCTCCGCGACTCCCACACCCACGCCTCCAGCGTTTGCGGTCATGGTTCAGGGACACTGGGCCATCGGCGGCATGGGTAGGTGTGAGTGGGTGTGAGTGGGTGCAGGCAGAGCTCCTACAAGGAATGCTCGGGAGTCTGTCTTTTCCCCAAGGGTGCCTGGATGCCTGGATGTGAATACTGAGTAAAGTGGGAAATGGTGTTTTGAGCTAAAAGCAATGGCACTTGGTGCCAGAATGTTGGCGTTGAAGTCACTTTCTTTTCAGTGTTTAAGTGGTGGAGCCGAGGCTGTAGGGCCAATGGGCAGGGATACCCCTCAGGAAGGATTCAGGCATCAGGGAGGGGGTCACACTAGAAATGACCTATAAGGCCTCTTCCCAAAGGTCCTCAGCCCCTCTGGTCATCTCTCTCACTTCGGTGACCCGAAAAGAGTTGCGTAAGGGACAACCTGTCGGGGGCAGCTTCCTTGCCCCTCCCATGTTCACATGGAGGGACTTCTGAGGGGGTAACCCCCTTGGCTGCCTATCCTTCCTCTCCACAGTGACCACTCATCCACGTGTATCTACTGACTAGAGTCCTGCCTGGCACAGACTCTGCTCCTTCTCTCTCTGCCCACACCACTGGTTCTCAGCCAGGGGCGATTTTGCACCCCCTTTCAGGGGACACCTGGCAGTGTTGGGAGACGTATTTGCCTGTCTCAGTGGGAGACAGGTGCTGCTGGTGTCTAGTGGGTAGAGACCAAAGATGCAGCTAAACACCCTGCAGTTCACAGGACAGCCTCCTACAACAGAGACTGCTCTGGCCCAAGATATCGATAATGCCATGGGGAAACCCTGTCCCACACTGCTCCCTGACGCCAAACTCTTCCATCAAGTATTCCAAACACTTGGCCCTCAGCTTACACCCTTGACCTCCTGGAATGCCTCCCAGGTTGCCCTGTGGACTGAATCCTGCCAACCCCACTCCAGCTGGAAGTTTTCCCCACTAGTCTAGCTCACCGTAACTCCCTGCCTTCTGAAGACTTACTCAAGATTAGCCAGATAAAGGGCGTGTGTTGTGTCTATGGCGTTCCCCTCTCCCCCGTGAGACCCTAGAGGACCCACTTCCCTATCTTCCTAACCTAGACATGGTCCAGAGAGCAAGGTGGATACGTGTGTTCGCTCTGGGGTGCTGCCCTAAGGTCTACAATGGGTGGGTCTCTGGTGGAGGAAAGAATGGGGCCAAGTCTTCATGGGCCACCGACCTAACGCCATGTCCTCCAAAGGGCCTTCTCAGGAATGAAGCCGACATTTCCATCTCCACTTGCCTGTCTCCCATGTCTTATTTCTCAAATGGTTCCAGACTCAGGAGAAGAAGGGGTCTTACATAATGACCGCCTCAAACCCCAACACAGACAAGCCACTAGCCCCTTCCCTGCAGAATTGTCTAGGGCACTGTCCACCCTTGCGTCTCCACCACCTACCTGCATCGTGCAACCACTTCTCCAGTAGCGGCTTGAGCTTGCACATGTTCTTGAAACTCAGATTGAGGGCCTCGAATCGCGAGATGGTGGTCTGGCTGAAGTCGTTGCCGTAAAGCTTTCCCATCGCCAGCCCCACATCTCCCTGCATGTGGGGATCAAGAGGGAGAAGCCGGAGAGACAGGCTCCTTCTCTCCTTTGTGCCACCATCCTAGCACCAACCACGCACGCGGAGAACCTCCAAGCACCCGCCCGTCACCTTGGCTCCTTTCCAGGTGTTTTCCCTCTAGGGGAATTTGGTTCATTTCCCTCCTCAGACTCCAAGTGGGCTGTGCCCATGTGCCTAACCCCTTGCCTGGTTCTCATTCCTCCCTGTCCCCCAGCAGTGTCCTCAGTTTCCTTACCCACGACAACCATGCCCTGTTCTCTGGGGACACAGCGACACGATGGGCTTGCCCCAAGTACATCGAACTTCAGGTTCAGGAAGCCCCATCTCACTCACTCAACCCAATTCCTTCTTGCTCCTTGCAAACCAGACCTGTGTGAAGCCCAGCTTAATGCGTCTCTGCTTGAAGGTCTTGGCAAACTTCTCCAGCTCTTCCAGATCACTGGGCTCGTCAGCCCCTCCAGAGCTGGGTAGATGCTTGGGCACTGGGAGATGTGGGGATGCTTCCAGATGAGGTTCTAAAGAAGATCCTGGTAGCCCAGGGCGCCCAATTGCCTAAGAGGGAACACATGCCAAATAGATCCACAAATAATCAACTGATCAAATGGCACTTTCTGTTATTGTGTACTAACAGGTCCACTTAGAGGATGACAGACCCCTGGGTACACTTGATTCCTGTTTTTTCAGTGGTGTGGAAGTGAGAACTGAGGGTTTCTATGAAGGGACAGCAAATAGCTAGAATAATTGGGTAGAAACAGTAGGAGTGCAAGACAGGGAGGTGTCCTTTCTGGGTTTTAGGCTATGACTCATTGTTTGACTCTGAGCAGGTAACTTCCTTCTTTCAGTTTTCCACCGTAAAAGGAGCTAGCAGGGTTGTTTACAAAGATTCCCAAAACAAATCTCAGAATAGGATGGGGAAAAAGGTTGTTTGCCTGCCTGTTCTTTTCCACAAAGCAAAGTAACTGAGGTGTTCAACAGGCATTAACTGAAGAGAACAGAGGACATCTGAGACTTGTTATATTAATAGAATTTCCATAGAATTTTAAACTCTTGCGACTGCCATTGTACTTTCTAACCCATCCTTTTCTTTCCTGAGAGTGTTTCGTTGTTGTTTGTTTTTCAGTCAGAGGTATTCCAGTGCCATCTACCTATAGCTTGATCTCATTTATGGTTGTCAAGAGATAGTCTTCCTTCAGTTTATTTTCATAGAAAAATGGACCTTAAAACCTGGAGTCCATGTTGTGCCCTTTTGGGGTCAAGAGTGAATCCAGCTCCTGAAGACATCCATCACTCCACAAGGAGCAAATCCCAGACCAAGGGGGCCAGGCACCATGTCCAGTCCCAGAGCCACTGCCCATGTGGACAACTTGGTCCAGGTCCGCCCTCTTTTCTCCCTTTCCCAGCTCACTCTTTTTCTGGACTGGAGTTAACTTTCCTCCTTGTCTCCTCCAAGACATGCAGATTTACCACTCAGATGGGCATCCTTAAGAGGAGGAAGGTAAAAGGACCAGAGAGAAGTGAAGGACTCCTTTCCCTGGTGAAGGATCTTTTAGAACAGAATGATTCGGAAGCCTTATGGATTTGATCCTGCTTTGCAGGGTGGGGTGGCCCTCAGGGCAAAGGTTCAGCCCTCCTGAGACTTCCTTTTCCTTGATTCATTTGTTCTGTAATCTGACAAGTGCTGAGTTCTTTGCTAGACCTTCTTCTCCCTCCCTTTCACATCCAATCAGATGCCAAATTGCATTCCCTCAACTTCCTCAAACATCTCCCCGTTCGCCCCCTCCTCTCTATTCTTATTGCCACAACCCTAAGCAAGTCCCTTATTACCGCTGCCCAGATGATCTTAATAACTTTCTGAACAGTTTCTTTGCTTCTTATAGTGTAAGATGTAAGAGTTGATCTTAGGCCTCTGTAAGATCTCTTCCAGATCTAAGTCTGTAATGATGAAATTCTGAGTCCTCAGGAGGAAGAAGAGTTCAGGACTCCCGTGTTCCCATTCCTATTAGCCACTAGATGGCACCCTCTCCCCTTCCAGATGCCGTCAGTGGTCTCTCTAGCCCTCGAGAGCCAGGGTCCTTACTGATGCGTGGGGGATCTTAGCCCAGAGAAGGGACACTGGGGCACTGCAGTTGTTCCCGGCTCTTCTGCACGACTGTCCCTGCAGACCATCTCCTGCAGCCGTGCAGGTTATTAACTGCACGGGGACACCCTGCTGAGGCGAGGCGAGGCGAGGCAACCCCCATACAACTCCTGCCGCTCTTAGCAAGCCACACACCTGGCATGAGGCTGCATCTGGCCAGAGGAAGAGGTGCCTTCTATATGGCAACCAGGTGCTGGGTGGAAACACGGCAGCTCTGCAAACTGCCCCTCTCACAGATCGCAGACCTCCTGACTAGACTGCAGGAGGCAGTCTAGAACAGTGGGTCTTAAGAGGGACCCAGAGGTGAGAGACTGTGGCCTTGCAGTCTTGGGACATCAGGCCTATGGGACTCTGGTCTCCTCCTTGGGGCTTGAGAGCACCCGCTGCAGGGCTGGTGGTCACCGTGGCATCCCTGGAGAGTTAACTGACCCTGGTCCTAAGGGGAGTGAGTGAAGCCAAGGCCCATTCAAGGCCAGAGTGGAGGGCCTGCACTACAGAGCAGGATAGCCTAGGAGCTGAAATCTCTGGGCTCTTCTTCTGGCTCCGTGGGTGATATTGGGTCAATCATTGCTCATGGCTGTGGCTTGTGTTCCCCAAGTGTGAACAGGGATAATCCCTTGCTAGTCCCTCTTCCCAGAGGGGTAAGTGCCCCATCCAGGGGGTGGGGGGAAACCAATGAGCTTCTCTGTCAAGAGCTGAGGCATTCCTGGAGGAAACAGGAAGAATGTGGTTGTTTACCTGGGACGCCAGGCCTGGCCCAGTCTGCGGGAGGAGGAGAGAGCTTTGTTGCTGTGGAAAGGGGAGAAGATTTGGCTGCAGACCTGGGTGAAAGGGGAGGGACAAAGGAACAAACAAATAAAATCCAGGCCATCTGAAAGACGCACTCCACAGCTCTGGAACGGAGATAACTGTCCCCACCCCCTGAGACCAGGTCAGGTCCCTCAACCCACCCCAAGCCCTGTGAATAGGGCCCCCACAGGCACGGCCCTGGCATTGCCACACACAGGTGGAGGTGAATGAGACACGGGGATAAATATGTAAACAGCCATCCCCAAACCAGTCCTTCCGCTTGCCCACCAGCCTGGATTGGTGCATGGGCCGAGGAGGCTCAAGGCAGCCTGCTCTGTCATCTGATAACCACAGCTGAAGAAATCTAACAGGGAAGGAAAGGCTGCTGGACCTGAGGCACTGACGAGCTCCATTGTGCCTACAGAAGTAGGCTGCAAAGGCCCGGGCAAGTCTGCAAGGATGCCAGACCAAGTGGATGGGGCCAGAGAGCTCCATTGGCCAGGGGCTCTTGGCAGAATGACATTTTCTACTTGGGAGGAAGGTCAGAGAGAGAGGGAAGACCAGGGGCCAAGCCCCTGGAAACTCTATCTGGTGGTATGGTCTCTACCCATTCCTTGTACTGCCTGAGGACCACTTTCTCCTTCCCTCTCCGGGGAAATGGTCCATGAAGGGCTCTGCCTGGTTTCTAGTCATGACTGTGGCCTCCCTCTAGCAAGGGCCACAGCAGGGAGCTCTTGCTCTGGAGGCAGGAATGGGGCCATCAAGCTACCAAAGCAGACAATGGGGCAGGTCGCCCGGATCACTCAGCACAAACTCAAACCTTGGGGTCTCTGTTGTCCCTAAGCTGCTCCGGACCACTGATGTACGGATCTGCTGATGCTGATCTTTATGCTCCCCAGTCTGTAAAAGTCAGGGCTTAATTTTTCCTTATTAAAATAAACAAAAAGCTCTTATAAGGAGCTCTGAACCGGGAGTCAGAGGCTTGAATACTAGTAGTCATCTAACATGTAAATTGCATTTTGAAATGCACAAAGCCTTTTCATATGCATTATTTCAAATAACCCTCAATAACCTTGTGACGTAGAATTTTACTCTTATTCTATTTTTTACTATTATTCTGTTTTGTTTCATTTTACTTTATTTTTATTCAGAGAGGTTAGGTTAACTTTCCCAAGGACATATAACTAGTAAGTGATTTAAAAAAAAAAAAATTAACCAATGAGTTTTCTGACTCCAAATTTTGAGGGGTTTTTGTTTGTTTCTTTGTTTTTCCCCCTGTATCATACACTGTCCTCATTGGTTATATGTCTGTGTCTGGGCCATTTTGATATCACTATCTTCTAAAGAGGAAGGGAATTAACTGTTACCTTCTCTTTCCTATTCTAGGAGTATGATAGACATTGCCTGACTAAAATAGATACTTGGAGGTTCAAGTATGTTCTTATTCGTCATAATAAAAATGCTCTGAGATGCCGTGGAACCTAGGGATAGGAACTGTAATTCGGGCGGGTGCTAGGGACGGAAGACAGAGTTGGATTCTGGATTTCCAAAGCCTCTACCTGGGATTCGTACACTGGTGGAAAACTCGTACTCCCTCCATCCCTTGGGCCAGTTGGTAGGGATGAGAGAGAGAGAAGCAGTACAGGGCAATGGCCCAGAACACAGGTTTCAGACAAACTGTTACAAAACTTTATTATGTTACGGGAGACATAGTATGACTATCTACCGCACAAGGTTATTTTGAAAAATGTCAAGAAAATCACTCATCAGAGCTCCTGGCATATCATGCTCAAGAAATACTCGCTATTATTATGAATATTCTAATTTGTTTGCTCTGGGCCAAGGGGACCTTCTCTGGTAGCCATTTTCCTGCAAGAACACCTGAAAACCCCCTCTACAGCCTGTGGGTGGCGCTGCAGCTCTACCCAGACAGAGTCGCAGCCCACTTTCAGGAGATGAAGGATTTCCAAGGAATTGGGACTTGCCCGTCCTGCAGATCCCCAGGAGCTCCTCCTCCCTGTACCGCCGCCCCTCCCCCTGCCCCCAGCTCCTGGCTACCTTGCACCTCAGTCTGTACTGACCAGGAAATTGAGGAAGACAGAGAGGGAGAAACAGAGAAGGATCCTCTGCCTGGAGGGGCAATTCCAGGGCGTCCCTCCCCCAGGCGCCGAAGTAGACAAGCTGGTCTTAAAGCCAGAGGGGTGAGCCACTCACCCCACACTTGGGCTCCCTCATCCAGCAAGCAGTGGTGGCATGTTGCTGGACTTGGCAGATGTGGGACATGCCAGCCAGGGTCCTTACCTTGCTGCCCAGATTGGGTCTGAGATAGCAGGAACTGGGATACAGACTGTAGGTGGCCAGGAACCAGCACGAGCTGCTGGAGCGGATGGAGGGAGGTCATGTCCTGCACATGGGCGGGGGGAGGGGGAGGAGCACAAACATCGCAGAATTTACACGCGGGGGGCTGCTGGCTCCATCTATCCCATGGGGTCTCCAGACTCGGAGACTTTGTTGGCAGTGACCTTGCCTTATGCCTCTGCGTAGCTCAAGTCCCTGGCACGTAGTAGCTTTTCTATTAATGCTGGCATTGTTACAGCTTCTGCACTCAGCCAAGCAGTGCCTTGCCGCCCATCGTATTTAAACTTTGATTTGTTATTCAACTTTTGTGTCTGTCAGTCTCGTCTCCCAACTAGACTGTAAAGGTCAGAGGCACAGGCTGAGGATTACCCATCTCTCAGAGGTTCGCCCTAGAAATGACATGTAATCCCAATCATCTAATTTTCTTTTTTTAATCTCACGCCATTTGACTATGCTAAAAGTCATGTCTTGGCCATTTCCTGGGCCTGAACCTTTCCTGGAGGAAGGAGCAAGTTATTAGGTTTTAATACAAAAAGTTTGATTAGACAGAAAGTCCGTGTCCCCTGGGTTCCTTCCACCAGCTCCCAAAGGGTAAATACCAATCTCAATGCTTGGGGGATCCAGACCCCCAGGCTCAGTGCACAGAGACGGGGTAAACCCCTGCTGGATCAAGAAGAGAAGGAATGGATGCACATTCTAATCTTAAATCTTTCTAGAAAAGGGTAGTATGTCTTCCCCAGGTCATCCATACCAAAAGAGGGGCTGGCCACATGGACATCCGCCCTCTCAGACACTTGTCGTTACTGTTTCAGGGTGCCTCCTTCTTCCCCCCACAGCACTCTGTTCTAGTTTGGCTTTGATGCAAAAGCTTGAGGGAGGAGAGTGGGCTCACTGGAGACAGAACTGCTCTATATCTGTAGCAGTGGATGTCAGCATAGGGCTCCCCTAAAATGGCTGGCAGACACCAGCCCCCTAGCTGCTAGGTCCGTTGTTTTGGCAAGATCGGCTCCCTTTTGTCCCAGAGAGGTAGAGGTAGCCAGGCTTTCCCTTTAAGAGGGCTCCCCTCTCATCCCACCTCCACCCCACGCCTCCATCCCTTCGTCACATTCTCCGCAGGGTGGTTTTTCAGACCAATCTGGATTCCCTGAGAGCCAGGTCTAAAGGTGAAGCATGTTGCAGAAGGCTTGAATTAAACTCACTGGCCCGCTGAGACTATCAGGGCTCCCTGGCATGGGGTGGCATTTACCCCGGACATTTGGTTTCCAGGCATCATGGCAGGTCCTTGACTCAGGTGGCATGGCCGATGCGAGAGGGTCTGCTGCAGGGAGTCACTGAGGTCCTCAGTTTTAATCTGTAAGTGGAAGCAGGAGGAGAGCATCAGTTCTGGGCCTTCCCCAGGCAGGCAGAAACAGAGATTTGGAAAATGTCAAAGTGGATGAGTGACAAGCCCAGAGAGTAAAGAGCTAGCTCAGTGCCTATGGTGTCTATGGGGTTGCAGCTTGATATTCCTGCCTGCTTGTGCCCTTCCGCTGGTAAGAGAGAGTCGAGTGGTGCTCTGGAGTAACAATCTGTAAGCGGGTGGGGAGGGATTACCTGAGATCTCTCATCCCTTAGCACTGTTCGGCAGGCTGTGCCAGTACGAAGGGCAGTTTACCCTCTTCCTCAATAAGATGAGAAAAAATAAGTATATTGTAATGACTTCAAATGTTTCTTTTAGATTCTGAGATGATGTCCTTTTCTTTTTCCCTTAGGGGAGATGTTAGAATTTCTTTTGTGAAATGATGCTGATCCTAAACTGTATTTTATTTTTGTTTATTTTTTATTTTTTCTTTCGTACTCTCTATACCTAATGTGAGGCTCAAACTCACAACCCTGAGATCAAGAGTCCTGTGCTCCTCCGACTGAGCCAGCCAGGCGCCCCCTAAATGGCATTTTAAAAATTCCCCACCTCGCGGAGCCTGGGTGGCTCATTTGGTTGAGCATCTGACTCTTGGTTTCGGCTCAGGCCATGATCTCATGGGTGGTGGGATCAAGTGTCCGTGTCAGGCTCCACAATCAGTGTGGAAATAGCTTGAGATTCTCTCTCTCCCTCTCCTCAGCTCCTCCCCCTGCTTGCAGTCTTTCTCTCTCTCAAATAAATAAATCTTAACAGATAAATAAATAAAGACTCCCCACCTTATTATGTAAAAAAAAAAAAAAAAAGGCAACCCTTTATCAATTTTCCCCATACTCTGTTTTTTATATTCCTGGTCCACAAAATCCCCAGGTCTGGGAGCCAGTTTCCCTTCCATCCCCAAATTGTTTTCCACAGTTATCCATCTTCTTCATGCTCAGCTGCCTCTTCGCCCATGTGGCTTTGGTGACAGTCTTTGCCTGTCTCCCTACAGGTGGGGACATGTCTCCCTCATAGTCACTACTGCAGTTGCAGCCCGAGGGGCCTGCGATGGCTTCTAAACCCTCTCTAGCTTCTATCCACCAGCTTTTGATGACAGCACACCAACCACCCACCTGTGGGTTTCCCAGATGTCCAAGGGCAGGGCAGGATGCCACCCCTCCTCCCACCCAGAGAAAACTTCCCTCTGGCAGCTTTTCGGGAAGTCCACTGGAGAGGGGGGAGCCAAGTGACTGAATTCATATAATATGACAAAGAGCATAGGATCTAGACCATACCCTTTAAAAGACACTGGGGAGACCCTCTGATGGAAATTCTTGGCCATAGAACCATTTTCTTGGTCTACACTGGGAGTGTCACTGACATCCTAGAATCTCTCCTGTCTTAGTTTAACCCAAGTTAAAGGTTCAGATTAACAGCTACATTTGTGCTTCATCACTGCAGAGAAATGGTCTTTGGATCACAAAAGAAAGATTTCCCTTTGGCTGGAGAGCTAGGAAGATCCTGCTGAGTGACGTCAGAGACCAAGAAAAGAGCTAGTGTCCTAAATGTGGTGCCTTGCACATAGTGGGAATTCATGTGAGTTAACTGAATAAAAGACATAAAGAGAACCCATCTCTCTAGAGTCTCCGGCGGGATACAGTCAGGAGAACGTTGAACAGGGAGCTAGACCCTGCTTCTAAGTCCTAACCCTGAGTCTAACTTACTATGTAACCTCCAGCCATCATTTCGCCTGTAGGAGACTTGGTTTCTCCACCCGTTATGATTCTATATGATTTTTCTCTCTTCCAGTCCTAAAATGGAATTAAAAGTTCCAGTTCCCTAGTGCATTTGGCAGACTTGTCTAGTCCAGGTTGCTGTGATGTTCTTAGGTAAAGCGGACCTACACAGCACCAACAAGCCAGGGTTACACCAAAATTGGTAAGAGGGTGCTTCCTCCAGGGACCATCTTTCCAAATCACTCCTCTCTTCTCTCACCTAAAGAGACTTATTCTGGAGCCTTGGAATTGGAGAGGAGGAAGGGAGAGAGACCGGAAGTAGCACAGTGGGGACAGAGAATTGAGACTTTCTGAAAACTCTAAAGGCACATGGCCACGCGGGAGGGATTTCCAAGACAGCCCCCAACCCTACCCCCCAGTGCCCCTCAGCTCTTCCCACCCACGCTTGGCATCTCTGTCTAAGAAGCTCTGGTGTCCTAGTTCTTCCCCTAGAAATTAGAGTTTTCACATCCTAGATTCCAGGGAAACATTTGTTAGCAGGTTTAAAAAAGCTAGGAATAGATAAGACTACTTATTTAAAACCACCAACCACCACCACCACCCTTAAGGTTTGCTCTAAGAGATTTTACTGAAGCAAAGCCTTTGGGGACCAGCCTCCCCTCCCCTCATCTCCCTTCTAGATCCCCCTCCTGCCCCAGGGCATCCCTCATCCTAGCGGGGGTTGGGGGGGTGTTGGGTGAGGCAGGATGGAGGAAGGGGGACAGAGGGAGAACGCAGAAAATTGGAGCCAAAGGCACGCCGGTCCACCGCAGGCGGCTTGGCACGGCGCCAGCTCAGAGGCAAGTGGCAGGGTTCCTTTATAGACTTATTATGCGCAAAGGAGATAAGGTGCAGCTATGACAGAGCTCGAAAACATGTGCTTTGCCTCCAACCTGAGCGCTATCTGTTAGAATCAGTGCCAGGTCTTCCTGCAACACTTAATTTCAGAAACCAGTGCCATCATAAAAGAAAACGCACCCTTTCATCTGCTTCCTGGATCAGTTGCCCTCCAAACCCTTTTAGGGGCACTGCCAACCTCCCAGTTCTACAAATGAAGCAACTGATAGTAGAAAATCCCTTTGGGCGTTCATCTGGGGCATTCTGACAACCCCTCCCCCACCCCAAACCTCATGTGTCATTCTCCTGACTTTGTGCTTCACCAACATTTTTCTTCTTTCATTTTTCATACTTCATTAGCCTTTGGGTGTAAGTGGCTGGCAGTAACCCCCAAAGAAGAGAGTCCTATGCAAACCAAATTGAGAGACACTAAAGGAGATTCCTTTTTCGAGGACAAGTTCTTAAAATCTCTGCTTTGGTGGGTGGGTCTCAGAAAGAGAGGAAGGGAGGAAAGGCACATCCAGGGCTCTTCCAGCCTCCAGCACACTCTGGCAATTCTCTGAGTCCACGGGCTAAGAAACTACGAAATTAAGAAACAAAGCCTTTCCCAAATCAAAAAATCCCTTTCACTGCTGTCGAATGGAAAAGATTGGAGCCTTTCCAGGCAACTGGGTGTTGGCTGTGGATCTGGATGGTGAGATAGAGAGGCTTCTGTTGGAATCCCATTGACTTCTAATGTGAGAACCCGAGGCAAACTGGGTGAAAATCCAATTTCCCCCGTACTTGTGAAAACCCAACCAAACCCACAGCCTGCCTGGAATCTCAAAGACTGTCTCCAGGGTCCCTTTGGTGGTTCTTCTCACGCAAATGGAATCTCTCTCCAGGCCCTGCTCAGGATGGACTAATCCCTGGGGACATGGGCTGCCACAGAGGGCTCTGTCCTGTCACAGTCACTGACCATCCTGTCCATGTATTAGACAAGGTTTATTAGTTCAGAATTTTCTCCGCCCACTGCACTGTGCACAGGTATTACACTGAGTCTTGGGCAGTGACCAGGGAGGTAAAAAGTCATCATGCATGATTATCTTTTCTAATCCCAATGAACTCCCTGACATCACCTGCTTGAGAAAGCAGTAGCCTCCTTCTGGGAGGAGAGAGCCCCCTCTGAAGAGCTGGAAGACTTCACACATTCTTACTTGGCTTCGCCTCCCAACCGGGGGGTGTGGGGACAAGTATTTACCTTCCCATCTCACGGAGGACCAGAGAGCTTCAGAGATCCGTATAGTTACATAACAAGACACTGGTAAAAGTCCCTTAAGGGAATGATCCTCTGACGTTTTCCCTGGTGCTCTTTTTACAAAACAGTACTGCAGACTTCCCAGGGATAGGAGACAGCGTAGACTATGGGTGATGACAAAGGTGGTGTTCTGGCCCAGACATACCTGTGGACCTCTTTATGAACCATCTGTTTTGGGGTCATGTGATGGGGCAGGGGGTGCTGGGGTACTCCTCCTTAGCCCCTCCCATGACAGTTTCACATGGTTCTCTCCGGGGGAAACAGCCCAACGCTAATGAACAGATCACTGGCAATGAAGACGATCAAAGCTGTTGTCTTGGTTGCATAACTCGTTTGTGGAAAGTGTTTCATAAACATTTCACAAGAAGGAGAATTTCAAAGCGTGAACATCTCCCAACCTGCCTTCAATTACAGGCAAGACTTTTTTTTCTCTCTCTCCCCCCCTTCTACACTTCTCCCGAGCAGTAAGGAAGAGTTTCTGTTTTGTAACTGATCTCTAAAGGGTTGGCAGCAAACACGTTGCTCATGAAAATATCCTAAAAATATATTTCAAGGGGTGGAAGGGAGCAGGCAGGTAGCTCATCTCAGTGAACAAGGCCGAGAGTCCCCGAGGAGATGTTGGCTGTATCTTCGCTTGGGAGACTCTCCTCTTTCCGTGGTTCTTGGTTGCTCCCTGGGAGTCCAAGGCTCCCTCCTCTTCAGATGCCTCCGGGAAGTGCCTGGGGAGATGGCCTCACTCATTCCCTGGTCTCTAGTCGGACCTACGACAGACCGGCCTAGATGCACCTTTGCCTATGGACACTGGGATCTTCTTCCTGACCGCATCAAACCTCTAGACAAAGGAGGAGAAGAGACAGGGGCCCTTGAATAAACGAATAGCTTCTTAGGAAGCCTGGGCCACTTGGAGTTGCCACCTCCTGGAAAGAAACATTTCAAAGAGGCATCCTTGTTTTTCTGGCTTGCACCTACTCTGGAAATGCAACAAGCTTATCAGTCGTGTTATTTAATGCTTTGGCTTCAGTTCTTAAGACCTAGCATTGCTAGTGCTGACACATGCGTGAAAAACC